GTACTAGGAAGCCAACTGAATAATTTGACATTTGTTGCTTAATGTATGCCAAGCATACTCCAATTGTAATGTCGGATAAACCCCTTAGGCATGGGTGAATGTGTGGCCATCTCAAATTTGGTCATAACACCACTTTAGTATTCAAATTATATCATGGCATGTCAACTTTTGTGAACCAATTCACACGTAAATGATGTTGAGAAACCCTGAAATGTCATCAGAACAAAACAGGTTCTAAACCCACAATCACAGGTTGCCGGCATGCCTCAGAGGCGCAGCTTAGAAGACTCGGCCAACCATGCCGCAAAGGTCATTGATCGGGTTGTTATTGTCTGCAAAGGTCTGAAGAGACAAGGAGAAGGCCTTGACATTGATCTTTACGGAAGAAAAAAGGTCCTTGTCACTATTTGTTGCTTTTCGCCACAATCAGTAATATTCCAGACAACCTCTGGAACGTTCAGGCACTGAGCGACTTTAAGTCAAGTTTGAAAACTAACTTTTTCACAGCTCCTCCTAGCCACCTTTAAGCAGACTTTCACGGATTGGAAATAGGCGCTACATAAATGACTACATGTAGTTTGATTGATTGATATTCCTGTCTGTAAATAATCAAACACAATCTACACAATCCAATGATTGCTAACATATGTGCAGCAGTCATAAGTCTATGAGTGTCTCTATAGGATTCGAACCATGGACATTCTGATACAAAGTCGGATTCCGAAATTGTGCCGTAAACCAGTAAAATGCAATGAAAGCAGTCCTTATTCACTAGAACTTGTAAAAAAATTTGAGGGCTAATTCTTGACCAGTTTTCAATGCTTTAATTTTGCTGCAAACTGAAACAAAACTAAACATTTTCATTATGTTCAGGCAGGACGAGACACAAATCCACATGACTAGTCTGGAATTTCTCCACTGCTAGTCTGCTAGTGATTTGAATGCAGGGTAAACATTATGGCTGCAATGAGTCAATTATGAGACAAATATGATACTTATCATGAATATTGTGCAATGAATATAATAACAATTTAGAGTCTTTGACATAAATTTACCATGTTGACAGTTCAATAAGGACAAACTTTATGAATAAACCACTTCTTTATTCAGGTGATGCAACGTTACGATACAGATTCTTGTATCTTTGTCATGCAGGTACACAAGAATCTGTATCAAAACGTCACATCATCTGAATAAAGGAGTTGTTCATCCATAAAGTATGTCCTTATCTGACTCTCAAACTTCTAAAAATGCCACAGTGTTAATCTATCACGGCAATGAACAGTGACCACAAGGCAGTCAAAATGAATATATTAGAATATAATATATATGACTGTGTTGACTATTATCCTGCCTGGCTTGGAAACATTCCATTTCATAAATCAGTGTTCACAAATAGCGTCGGACCCCCTGACAAGTCCGGCTGATTCGACAACGGTCCGCCAGCCCCAGTGTCTGACTGTATATTTCACGACTTTGACTAAAGTTGTTACATGTGACATGTCACACTTGTTTGCTGTTTATATATCTTATGTTTGTTAATAATTTCAATGCCAATTATGGGAAATGTTAAATCTGAAATGTGTGTTTAATTTTATTCAATGGGTCCTGTGAATTTTCAATGGGTCAGACAGACATCTAAAACTGAAACACCATTCGTGAAAGCTGATAAATAACACCCAAATTCAAGAAAAGAACACTCCCTTTAAAAAATGCATGAATACTAGTCAATCTTAATTCTTATTGATTTCAAATAATGATATGATTCAAAAAGGAATTTGGTTTGATACGTGTGAGTGAATCGAAATATGCCTAGCACACATGGGGATAATGACATTCTTTAACCATGTGTGTGACAATGTCAAGGTTAGAGGTTGGGTGGCCTAGCGGACTGAGCAGTGAACCGTGAAACACATCCACAACTGATCAAAAGTGGGCCAAGTCATTGGCCAAATGCTAGGACAGTCCCTATCTTTTAGGATATCTCAGCAGCAGAAAAAGTGTTATCCAGTAATTAGAATTAGAATGACACATCCACCCTCCAAATTTCTTGTTGATACGGAACTTGTCACAAAATGTATCACGATACAAAAAACAAACATGGTTGTACATGCTGAAAGACCAACTGCATGAGTACTAACCATGTGATCTAATAAACGGTAACAAGCAGTGGTGTTCAACATGGTCAAGATATGCAGTATGGGTGACCAGGGTGGGTGTATCATATAACCTGATTTTGATGCTCTCTATATTTGGCCTAATAGTAGGCCAGGGCAAGGCCACCTCACAATTCAGAAATTATGGAATGATTTAACTGAGTGAGTATGGTTTTACACCACTTTATCAATGTTTCAGCAGAAATGAGCTTCACACATTGTACCTATGTGGGAATCGAACCCAGGTCTTCGGAGTGACAAGCCAACCCTTTAACCACTAGGATTTGAATTGCAAGGAGTGGATATTTTGATATAAGTTGACAGTAGCAGCATCAACATTTGAAAAATCCTGAACAATCAGGGACTACACAAGACCTGTTGAGGCTGATATTCAACACCAAATTTCCACATAATATCTGTAAACATTCACAAAATGGAATGGAGTATTTACCAGATCAAGCTGTTAATATTGTTTGTAGAGGCAACTTATATTTCACCATTAACAGGTCCAAAACAAATGAAGGAAAAGGCTAAATTTATCTAGTTTTACATATACAAATTACAGAATCCAAATTTCCATATTTAAAGGCACTATGTCACACTACACTTTTCAAACAACAAGGAATGCATTTCTCTCAATAATACTAACTATCATCCCTCATGGAAGCTACCACAAAACAAATTACGTATTTAGATTACAATGTTATATCAAAAAGTTCGAATGAATTAATGCAAAGTTGCATTAAATCGACTCTCGCATTCTTTACCAGCCAAACAATATTACAAATGAACCCCATAGAGTTGTGTCCCTTGGAGCGCTCTTTTTGAGTAACTTGTGATTGAAACCAGTTCGGCAAAACACTGACATCGCGTGTGACAGTTTTCAATGTGCGGAACAATTGTTTACAGTCCATATATGGCAAGTGTTCTCTGTTTGGAAGCAGTTCGCCTCGAAGTTTCAGTTATCGATTTTCAGGCAAGTCGTAAGGGATAATAAGTCTTTTATTGCATTAATAGGAATCTAAAGTGAGCGCATATGCCCCAATATATTTAATATAGGCCAAAACATTGTCGAAAATGTGTGACATTGTGCCTTTAAAAAACCTTTTCACTTGGGACATAAGAACTTTAAAAATAATCCCCAGTTTTGAACAAAAGAATGTTTTTTCCCCATTTGCCGAGCAATCGGTGCACTTACTTTGAAAATTCCAAGACAACACCTGACAAATTCTCAGCCTACTGGAATTCTTTTGTATCTGATTCTAAATATCCTGGTTATATGACATCAACCATCTTTATGAGGCAGGTACAATCTGACTTTGCTCAAGCATGTCTCTTATTTTCAATGGATTATAGTGTTTTGATATGTTGTTTAAGTTGATTAGCAGTGTTGAATTTGGCTGCGATGTAGACTCATTGAATACAGAGGATTAAGGTTTGTTTACACAGATACTTAGACACCACAAATTACATCAAAGCTTACATGGCATTAAACATGGATTAAACATTGTTCCAATAGAGGTAGCGTTTGGATGTTTTGGTTTATGCGATAGTACATTTATGGTTTACTATTGGAACATTGTAATGATATTTTGTTTTAGAACTGTTCAGGACTCCTTTAGGATTCTTTTCTATATCTGCAAGATTGATCACTTTTTTTTCTGTGATTCTATATCAGTCGACCTGAAGTGGGACAAAAGTATGAAGATGTTCACCACTTAGATGAACCTGTGAGTACAGGTATGGTCCCTACAAACCTAGAAACACAATTGTACAAATATTTGATTCAAGCACACTATTGTAGGTTTGTGGCTCGCATAAGGGAACACCCCTTTCCCTAGTTCATATGAATAAACTCATATTCCAGCCAAGGCCTACATCGTCGCGCACGCCTTGGTATAGTGCAAAGTCGTCTAGTTATATGCTGGATACCCTTTCCCTTGGTTGAAGTTGATTCTATAGCACAAACTTTAACAAATCTTCACTCCTCAAAGGAGTTCCACTGCACATTGCTTTAGAAAAGCATGAATAATGGAGGACAAACACATACCTGACAGTAAGCCTGACCCATTTTCAATTGAGTCACAATTCACATGAGCAGGTTTAGTCACAATTCACATGAGCAGGTTTGTGTGATCAATGAAAGCTCTTCCAAATACAGTTGTTGACACAAGTTTCGCGTTATTATATAACCTTTAGAACAGAATATTTATCTTTTAAATCAACTTGGATGGTTAGAGGCATAATGTGTCAACAAAGTTTTATGCACCTGTCATCTTTTTGCTTTTTGGTTGTTTTGATTTTTAGCATGATGTCTTGTGTGAATGCTAACAGTTGGGAACAGGTTAAGAAGTTCAATATAATAAGAAAAATAGTTCTTACATTCTGAGACATGGTTAACCTGTACTTGTGACTTGACATAACAGAGTGAAGATTTATAAACATGTAAGACTACAGGCATACACATTTGCACATTGCTGAGACTGTTTTTGTTTTGATTCGTCAATCATTCACATTTCAGCCATATCGTGACGAATGGGTCCAAAATATATTTCTGTTACACTAATTGAAATAACAATGAAAGGTAGAATATTTGGCTGAATATTCTTCTGGCCATATCGTCACTTTGTTTCTGTATATCGTATTCACGAATACACACCCTACCACATGGCCATATATAAACAGTCATGCGTGGCTCGTCGTGCTTAGAACCTCTTCGATACGTGACCAAACCTGTTTACCCTCAACGTGTTGAAAATTGATACCACGGACGTAAACGAATGAACACATAAATGATAAATGTTCCACGATAAAGACAATGTGTGGTAATGTAAGAAAACTTACCCATGTTTTCGTCTTTCCTTGGTTGTTGAAATTACCTTGTTTGGATGCTAGCTCCGCGCCATAACTATGAACTATAAGATGACCTGCTCGGTATGTAACGTCATTGTTGATTGGTTCAGACGACTGGCACGTGATCGATACACATGTATTTCGTCTGCTAGTTGTGCATGTTCTGTGTGAGTGGAGGCGCGTGTACCATGTGGAGTTGTGTTACATGAGTTTACATCATTTCTGACATGCTTATAGCCTGTGTATGTGTTGTCCAGTCATCAAGGAGTTCTCATTATTAAAAATATATGGCCAGTAAGTTAATCTCTCAAACTTAGCAGGGAGTGTGAAGGGTGCGGCTGAAGAATAATTAGGTCAAACTGCGCTACTGCAAGTACAGAGCTGCATGGGTGGGAAAGCAACACAATTACCGTATTTGTTCTTTCAACCCCCTAGATGAAGTAAACATTTGTGACCCACGATGAATCCCTGACATACATCACAACGTAAGTAATTGTTCAATTATATTGTACTTTCACATGCACTATCAACAAATAGCCTGCGTACGTATTTTGTGTTCATGACGTACGCACGCACGCACGCACACACACATATTAAAAATAACGGAACGTAATAAGTTCATCCAAATAAAATACACGTTTTTATTTTTTCTAATAATAAAACAGCTTCATCATCAAATAAGGACTTATCATCTGTTTCATATATATGTTAATTTCGGACTGTTTTAATGATGAACTATGAAATACGTACATATTTAGTATTTACAGCCTAGGATCTTCAACAGAGGCGGAAATAAGATGGTCACAAAAAAAAACTGCTCCTCAGTTATCAACTTAACTCCATTTATTATGATAATTATTTATAATAAGTGATTTAATACACTGAAAGATCTAAAAACCCACATAATTTATTTCTCATTTCACATCTTTTTGCTTAGATTATGCTTTTTCAATACTTTCGAGGACAGAATTCAAAACACACACTGCAGATAAAGAAACAACGTAATTTTCGGGTGTTTATATAAATCTATAATATCTCCATACATGTTAAATGCACATTACGTTGCGTACGGTAGGTACGATGTTAATGGTATCATATTCGGTGCTTTAACTGGGAACCAGTTGGGTTCAGATTGTTGATGCAGGCATACGGTAGGTACGATATAAAAGTTATCATGTACGGTGCTTTTGAAACGTAATGACCAATTATTAAACAATTTGGCTCTAAGCTTATGAACGCGCATGCCTGTGCTAATTGATATGACACGGGTGTTCAGAAATTGGATGTCAAGGCAGTTTAAGTGGTAGCATACTGTGTGTTGCGCGTACTTTATGAATGCGTGCGCGTATGTGCAGGGCAGGTGCGTGTATAGTCTATCTCACAGTCACTGAACCACATTATTTTCCCAACTGCCAAGCCCTCTCTGCAGTGCTAAAGCCCTAAATAGAGCAAGTCTAGATTTCCTCATGTTCAGGATCTCTGTTCTCCCTAGGGCTCCTTTTCAATATAAATGGGCTTGTTTGTTACTATCAAAATTACATATATTCAGAGACTAAGCATTAGTGTAGTGCGTGTACTCTGGTACTCTCAGTGTTCAGAGAATGTTTCATGCATACGGACAAAAAAACAACATTTTACAAACATTCCTTTAGCTGTTTTTGTCGAGTTCAAAACAAAGTTAATTCCAGCCAGAATGGTTGGACACAGCTATCGATCGTGTTCACATTAAACAGTAATCCGTATACATTTCACGCTGCACCAATCATTATTGTAAATTTCTATGTGTTCTATTATAGGTTTGTAATGTTTTTGTGACATTCCCAGTCTAATATACTTGTACCAGCTGTGCTCACTACTGCGAGTTCTTAAACTGGTTTCCAAAACAAATCAAGCGGTATGTTGGGCTGACTGACTGAGTATGGTTTTACGCCGTTTTTAGCAATATTCCAGCAATATCACGGCGGGGAACACCAGCAATGGGCTTCACAAGTTGTACCCATGTGGGGAATCGAACCCGGGTATTCGGCGTGACGAGCGAACGCTTTAACCACTAGGCTACCCCACCGCCCCGGTATGTTGGATGCCAAGAGCGTTGACTGTCGCTGGAAATATACTACCCATCGAAAGTTTAGACTCGCTTAAAGCACTCACTATATGTTATGTATATATATGTGGTTACATCGGAGATTAATTTCTCCACTATCTTGGGGGAACCAACTGAAAACCTTATGTAGATGAATTGCACAAGGATCATGCATCCAATTGCTGGGAAACACGTGCAAATATCGTTCATGTGAACAGCTGCGTTTGGGTGTAAAGTTATGTTAGGAATTCGTCAATTTTCTCTTTCATCATTTATTGAACTCATGACAATAACCTTTTCAATGTTACGAATATGTTTTACAATACACCAGTTCATGTGTAAACAGCATCTTTAAACAGTATGGAATATTTTGCAAAAATCTAGTGTACAGTTGACTGAAGTAAGTGGCTACACTTACACTAGTGAGTCTAAACTTTAGATGGGTAGTATATTTCATTTCAGTATACAGAGATTTAACATTGTGAAAACTCTTATGTACACCACGTGCTGAATGTTAGGGGATGGTTAAGCGTTTTGAGACCTTAGTTATATAATGTGTCGCAGGACTGGCGAACAAATACGTCTGAAATAAAATTATAAACAGATTCATTGATGTGTGGCGTTCTTAAGCTTCACCAAACATCGGGGCACTGTAAACGTAATGTGTGTCACTAAAAACCAAATATTTTGTTGAAGTATTATCACAATACGAGATAATATCACAATCTTCTAGTATTATATCATAGCTGGGGGTAGCCTAGTAGTTTAAGCGTTCGCTCGTCACGCCGAAGACCCGGGTTCGATTCTCCACATGGGTACAATGTGTGAAGCCCCTTTCTGGTGTCCCCGCCGTGTTATTGCTGGAATATTGCTAAAAGCGGCGTAAAACAATACTCATTCACTCACTCATAACTGAGACTCCTTTCTAACTTTTTGATGGTGGAATAGCTTCAGGGTCAAGTCAGCTAGCGCCCTACACAAATGATTTTGCGATAATTTTGCTTTTGTCATAATTACAAGTTACTGTAGTAAAGGAATTGATTCACCGTGTATTTAAATGTATCACCTTACACATTTATACTCTGATGAAATGACCTGGGCCCCGTTCCTCAAAGCGATCGTAGCACTACGACAGTCGTAACTCCCATACTTTAACATAGACTTACGACTGTCGTAGCGCTACGATCGCTTTGAGGAACGTGGCCCAGATCTTTTGCTAAATGAAAAGGATTAATACATCACAAAAACGAAATTCTGTGGAGAAAAACGTTGACGCTCATTCAGTTAAAGCAGAAAATGAAACACAAAAGGAAATGTTAAAACAGACTCAGGGGTATTATCTCTGCATTGGTCACTCAGAAGGGACACTCCCTGTCGTCATCTTCTGTAACGGCGTTTAATGAATAATGAGCTAGAGGAAGTCAAGTAAAGACGTCTTCATCACGTCTCTTACGACGGTGAAGTTTATGATTTAGTAATACTGGTGAGCATAATCTATGCATGTGTCAAGTAAAACCAAAACCCCACAAATGTCATTTTTTAGATCGACTTCACAATGGCATATTCGAAATCTCTTTGGCAAGAGGGGCGGTGGGGTAGCCTAGTGGTTAAAGCGTTCGCTCGTCACGCCGAAGACCCGGGTTCGATTCCCCACATGGGTACAATGTGTGAAGCCCATTTCTGGTGTCCCCCGCAGTGATATTGCTGGAATATTGCTAAAAGCGGCGTAAAACCATACTCACTCACTCACACACTCTTTGGCAAGACCTGAATTTAGAACACTCAAACTCGCCCTTTAGGACTTCTAACCTAGCGAGACTATCTGTTATTGCATCACCCTGTAAATCATCATAAGTTGAAACATAACAACATCAAATGGAAAATATTTTGTGTAAAACATGTGTCCACTTTCAAAAGTTTCGATGACAATAGAATTTTTATCCAGGTTATAGTCGAGACTCAGTTGCTGCCAAATCAGTGAAACGATTGCTTCTTTGTCAATGTGGGGTGGTGGGGTAGCCTAGTGGTTAATGCGTTCGCTCGTCACGCCGAAGACCCGGGTTCGATTCTCCACATGGGTACAATGTGTGAAGCCCATTTCTGGTGTCCCCCGCAGTGATATTGCTGGAATATTGCTAAAAGCGGCGTAAAACCATACTCACTCACTCACTCACTCTTTGGCAAGACCTGAATTTAGAACACTCAAACTCGCCCTTTAGGACTTCTAGCCTAGCGAGACTATCTGTTATTGCATCACCCTGTAAATCATCATAAGTTGAAACATAACAACATCAAATGAAATATATTTCGTGTAAAACATGTGTCCACTTTCAAAAGTTTCGATGACAATAGAATTTTTATCCAGGTTATAGTCGAGACTCAGTTGCTGCCAAATCAGTGAAACGATTGCTTCTTTGTCAATGTGGGGCGGTGGGGTAGCCTAGTGGTTAATGCGTTCGCTCGTCACGCCGAAGACCCGGGTTCGATTCCTCACATGGGTACAATGTGTGAAGCCCATTTCTGGTGTCCCCCGCCGTGATGATTGCTGGAATATTGCTAAAAGCGGCGTAAAACGAAAGTCACTCACTCATTCATTGTCAATGCTTATAGAATTACTAACGGTTCTGCTGCACAATGGGCATTTAGTCCCGAACCCTGGACACATCGGTGATTATACTAACAGGGATTCAAAAGGCCCCAGCAGTACGTACCATAGATGAATCATTGTGGCGCATGGAAGGTCGCGGGTTCGATCCCCGATCGCGTCATACCAAAAGACATTAAAATATGGTACTTGTTGGTCCCTGCCTGGCGCTCGGCATTAATGGGTACAACAAGGACTGGTCGGCTCGGAGTCAGTATAATGTGTCTGAGTGGGGTATTCATGCTTCACTGCGTCATGGTATCTCAGTGGGCTAGCACTATAAAGCCAGCTTCAGTCTGGGCTAGTACAAGCAGCCGCACATACACATGCACACGCATGCACGTCGTCATATGAGCGAAATATTCTCAAGCACGACGTTAAGCCCAATTTCACCACCACCACTCAGTATAAATTTATGTACGTTCTGTATATAAGATTCCCAGAAAATGCTCTCACTTTTGTAGACTCTTCTTGACAATGCATGCATGACAACAGGTTCATTACATAATCCAAACTTTAAAAAGTCATTGAGCCAACCCCAACCCCAACCTTCAAGGTGGGGATGGTTCCACTTGATTCAACTCACTGTTGTGCTGCTGAATTTCTGAACATAGGACTTGACACATGACCAGTCACTACTCATAGCATTCATCTTCAAAAGAATGTCACACTGACCCTGCAATGTTTTAAAGCTCTAGGCTGAATAACACATGTCATTGTATCCCAATTGCGTAGATCGATGCCCATGCTGTTATCACTGGTTTTTCTGGTCCAGACTCGATTATTTACAGACCGAGACCATATAGCTGGAATATTGCTGAGTGTGGCATTAAACAACCAGCAAAATAATCCTAGTTTGATGAGTCAATATGTCAACGCCTGTAGTTTTCAACACGACACAGTTCAAATAATTCACTTCACTTCACAAAACATTTATTAAATGCGTCTCTTCATCCAGCAGATATACGGCCCTGACCACAGCTGGTGGCGTTCTCATCTCTGTTTAGAATGCAGTGTCTTGGGCACATGAACATGTACCACGAATATCGGAATTCTTGATTAACGAAAATAACTGCATGGGTGCGTATACGCAAAGTGTAAAAGAAGCCGTTACAGAAATGAGGAATGATACTTACACATATGTCAACAAATGAGGAGTGTGCATTTCAAATATCCATTTTGCAAGCGATAAACATTTTTAGTCACATGGTTGCAACATGATTAAATATAGGTTGTCAGGTGACTGCCAACAGGTTATATTTAACAATGTGCTCATTTCGGACTATTGCTGACTGCGGCGTAAAATTAAACTCACTCACCCACCCACATTCATGGGTACAATGTGTGAAGCCCATTTCTGGTGTCCCCCGCCGTGATATTGCTGGAATATTGCTAAAAGGGGCGTAAACCTAAACTCAGTCAGTCAGTCATTCCCCGCATGGTACAATGTGTGAAGCCCATTGCTTGTATCCCCTGCCGTGATATTGCTGGAATATTGCTATAAGAGTGGTAAGACCATACTCACTCACTCACTGAAACGGACATATGTTACAGAAATAAGGTTCATAGATTACCATAATAAAATGTAATGAAAAGGAGTCCAGTGACTTTTTTTCATTTTCAGAATCTGTAATCTGGAGTTATATCAGTAATCATGTTCTAGCCTTGCAGGGGCTTTCTTGGATATGTTTGTTTCAGGGTCTGTATGACAGACTATTTAATTGCCTGTCAATCGGGTTATGCCATGTGTAAAAATCGTATTAAATATTGAGTACCAAAATATTGTGTACCAGCTTTTGTAATGTTTTGAGCATTCAAAAGTTAAATAGAATTTCTTTCCTTTGAAGGACGAATTGGAAAGGAAGTATTCTCTCCTAACATTTAGAAAGCACCACGAAGGGAGGTAATTCGGTCAAATAGGGGGTATATATAAGTGAGTGAGTAAGTTTAGTGTTATGCCGCTTTTAGCAATATTTCAGCAATATCACAGTGGGTGACGCCAGAAATGGGCTTCACACATTGTACCCAATGTGGGGAATCGAACCTGGGTCTTCGGCGTGACGAGCCAACGCTTTACCCACAAGGCTACCCAACCGCCCGTACATATATATAGTACATTTAAATTGTTTGGCATTATAATGTAGATAACAGTCATTTGAGGGTGAATAAGTTAGTTCCTATATGTGCATGACTATGTTTCCTTTGGGTACTCACAATGCGAAATCTCATTTCAAAAGTCAACACAGACAATGAAAAGTAACCATCTTGGGTTTGTGTCGGCTATGGAATGGAAAATCAGGTGCAGATGTTTCCAGTGATGACTAAAGTTTTGTTTGTTAATTAGCGCCGCACTCAGCGATATTCCGTCTGTAAATAATCGAGTCAAGACCAGACAATTCAGTGATCAACAGCATGAGCATCGTTCTACGCAACTGGGATAACATGACATGTATCAACCAAGTCAACCAACCAAGGGTTGCTGAAGACCAATTCCAACCCGGTTCACATGGGTAGATGAGTCAAGTAAGAATGGGCTTGACTATAAACATGCGACGTGAAATTGAAGAATAAGAGGAGAAGACGCTAGGCGCCATAATCAACTGGGTTAAATATATTCATTCTCTTTAATACCCATAAATTGTTCACAGGTCAGTGTTTAGGTGACAATTTCGCGCTGACAGTGTGATCCACAGGAACCGAATTATGCTCTTGTGCTACTCTTGTGGTCAGGTACAGGTTTCTAAAAAGGACCTGCCTCTGTTTACAACCAACACGTGCTGTTCCCCGGACATTACCGCTCATTTATTGGTTTGAGGTTTGCTCAGGTCGAAAATTGAAAAAAACCCAAAAACAACCTTGATGATGTTATTCTGTAGTAGTTTGAAGAAAATAGTAGAATACAACCTATGAGCTTGTTTTGGTACCGTGGGTTGAAAAAATAATAATGCATCATACTAATGAAAAATATTATCAACACCTTTCTTTATTCCTGTGTTTACCAAATGCATTACGAATCTGAGTGACACATGAAAGTGTGCATTGGGCCGATGCGCATCCAGTTGCATACTTGTTTGTTTCTGAATGTTCTCAGTCTCTATGTTCAGGAGGTATATAGTAGGGTGATCACGTGATGTGTTGGACACGTACCGAGCGTCCTCTATATGAGGTTATTGTCCGCTACCTGATGCAAATAATTCGACGAAGCAAGACGCTATTATCATTCAGGATCCGTGTGAAACTTGAGATGAGGAATCCGATGAGACTCAGCGGGTTGTGTCAGCCAGCGATGTAAGAGCTACGTTGTGCTCTTATAAACTTTGCATTTCTGTTCACCTTAAACTGTGAGTGTTCTAGTGCTTTTGGGTGCACATGTGCATGTGCATGTGCGTGTGAGCGCGTGCGTGCGTTTGTATGTGTCTGATGTTGTTTGACACCACACACAAAAACTTTCCAGCATATGAATTGTCTGTGAACAATTTAGTCTGGACCCCACAATCATGTGATTATCATCTGGATTAGGTTGACACACCATGAGCTAGTCTTTGGTCACACTATCTCCTCCTAGGACGAGCATATAGGTTGCTATAGAAATGAGGTAATTATGACATTCGAGTAAATAACGCAGACGTAATAAACGGTCTCTTAATTAGATACCATAATTGTGACTAAACATCATATAAGTAATATGAGATGGGAAACAAGAATATGTTTATTTAGCCTAAACCACTACCAGATATGACGCTTGCACCAATAAATGTGGAAAACACAAACCGAAATGATATCTCGTATGGCCCTAAGGATTCGAACGGTAGAAATTTGTGTCACGCATATTACAGTGAATTCACAATCGAGTACAAGGGAAACATAGAGTTACATCCCTTTGCACATAAAACCATGTTCTATTTAAAAGGAAAATTGATTCCTTATTTCACCAATGTGGAATTCTGAGTATATCAAGAAATGTTTGAACACTTTAGATAAACATTAACATACAAATACCAGCATATATAAACACAAAAACAGAACTAAACTATCTGTATTAAGGACCATTTATATTTCGAATCAGAAAACATCCACGTTTTCGAATTCTGAAATTTGGGGAAACCCCAGGAAATCATCATCAAAATATCGACAAGGGACCTATGTGACAGTAAACAAAGGCAAGTATTCATACTCAACACTTTCATTTATCATACTTATATCTCATATTTCATAAAATAAAATCTCATATCGCCTTTTTTTTGTGAGATACGTTCTCTAAGAGCTCACACTGGTGTCATCTTCAGTTTTGTCAAGATGCATATGACTTGTATGATAACGTCCTCAGTGAGCTAGCACTATAAAACCAGCTTAAGTCTGGGCTAGTACAAGCAGCCGCACATACACATACACATGCATGCACGTCGTCATATGAGCGAAATATTCTCAAGCACGACGTTAAACCCAATTTCACCTCACCTCACCTTCCTGGAAGGAGCAGGATTTGACCCGTTTCCGCCATAGTTAACTCTGCCTAGAAACGTAAGGTCATATAAGAACACGTTATCGCACACACTTTATTGTTAGGAAACGCACTCTCATGCCATAACCCTGTGCATATTCAAGTCCCTTGAAGTTTATGTAACCCCCAAATTTTTTTTAATCATTATATGCCTAAGAATATATGCCTGTTTTTCTATAAACAGCCTATACCTAACCCTAAAATCTAACCCCAAACCCTTGAATTAACCCTAATAAATAGAATACATTTCAAGCAGGGTTTACGGGCGTAATTCTTACTGTTTAATTGGCATTTTAGAAGATGCTATTTGATGAACAGAGAGACTTTTCTGGGTTTCATCTTCTTTTTATTGTTTGGTACAACGTTTCAGGGCTTGTTCTGGACCCATCATCAGTTCTCAGAAAAGTTTTACCTGATGATGGGGCCAGAACAAGCCCTGAAACGTTGTTACAAACAATAAAAAGAAGCTGAAACCCAGAAAAGTCTCTCTCACTGAGTTCAGGTATACATTGTTGATACAAATGGTTCTCCAATAAGTACAGGTAAAATATCACAAGTTAACCGAAGTCATCAGGTTAATAAACTGGGAGTAAAGTGATGTTTCAGAGTTAATGCTTACTTATTCTTCTATTGGAATTAACTTTGAAACGTTGTGTTATCAAATGAAGAAGTTCGGCATTGAAGTTCATATCCAAAACATCTTCTCTCTGCCCATCAAAGAACTGATATAGGGGCATATTCAGAAATCATGTCATATCCGGGGACACAACCCAGCTAGCAATTTGTTGTTTCTTACAACGTTATTCTGTGGACTACCAATTACGTTGTCACAACGTTGTCGGCTGACATTGTGATACATCATTTTTACGTCGCCACAAGGTAAATTTTTTTATGCTGACATATTTTATGTTGTCTTAACATTCTATTTAATGTTAATAGTTGAATAGTTTTCCCAGTAGTGAACAGTACAAAAGAAACAAAGAAGAAATTCACTTCAATGTTTATTCGTAAATTTGCATGTTGTTTTGGTCGTAAGTTTTCTGACGCTGTAGCTGAAGTGTGAAGAGAGAATCTCAAAGTGAAAGGTTTCATAGAAAACTGTATCTTGACAAGTTATAAGAAATGTTGTTATAACGTTGTGAGGAGCTCAAAGCATAATGTTTCCTCAATGTAAAAATGCAACGTTGTTATTATGTTGTTACATAACGCTATAAAATAACGTAATACTAACGTTGTGACAAAATTGTGTCATGACGTTACAATTCTTCAACCTTCTCACAATGCTGTGAAAACGTTGTGTGTTAGCTGGGAATAAGCAAACTGATATTCATGCTGTTTAACTCCTGTATTTTATATACAGAGGCTTTTGCTGACTTGTGTTCATGCCAATTTCCACTTGAATTTGGTTTCAACTGACATTCACTATCATCATTTGCTTTTTAAGAAGATGTTATTTATTTGATATAATTTTCTACACCTGGTTTTGGGATAAAACATTAAATGTCTTAAATTCACATTTGACACCATAATATAGTTATGTCATTGAATCTATTAATGTAGGTGCCAGTCAGAATGGACCATTTCATTTGTAACCTAAGGGATCGCATGCTATTAAGCATGTTAAGCAGGAATAGATTGTTGGAGCTTTCATTCTGAAGATTTAACTTGTACTATATTTTTGCAGCTGTCAGGTACACTGGAAGTCATCTGTGAAACCAGTTTGAATTACTTTGTATTAACTGATCAAGCTTCAGGGAACATTTGTGTTTCATACAGAGTACATTTCCATGATTTTTGTACACCAGTGAGTGAGTGAGTGAGTGAGTTTAGTTTTACGTTGCACCCAGCTAGCTTTTTGTCCACCAAGGTGAGGTGAGGTGAAATGGGGTTTAACATCATACTTAAGAATATTTCGCATTTCTGTTTCATAGAGAGTATATTTCCATGATTTTTGTACACCAGTGAGTGAGTTCAGTTTTATGTCACACTCAGCTTTTTGTACATCAAGGTGAGGTGAGGTGAGGTGAAATGGGGTTGAACATCATTCTTAAGAATATTTCGCTCATATGGAGACGTGCATACGTGTGTATGTGTGTCTGCTTCTACTAGCCCTGCCTTATGCTGGTTTTACAGTGCTAGCCCACTGAAATACCATGCCGCAGCCCACTGAAATACCATGCCGCAGTGAAGCATGAATACCCTACTCAGACACATTATACTGACTCTGAGCCTACCAGTCCTTCTTGTACCCATTAATCCCGAGGGCCAGGCAGGGACCAACAAGTACCATATGTTAACGTCTTTTGGTATAACACGGCCGGGAACGAACCCGTGACCTTCCGCTGTAACCACTACACCATGGAGGCGGTCCAGGGCTCGATTCAGTGCTTTGTTACTTGTACTGGTGCAACCCAATATTACAAAGTGCAACCTAGTTATGAGTCTAACTTACACCAGGTGCAAGTCAATATTTGAGTGGGTAAACTTCTGAATAAAACATCTAAATAATTCAACAGAATATTTCTGATATTACATATTGCAATAAAAACAGTGCAACTGGAATTTGACTGGTGAACTAGTTTTTTATCTTAGGTTGCACCTGGCGCAAGTGGGTTAACATCTCTTAAATTGAGCCCTGCGGTCTATAAACCAAGGTATAAAAATCTGGATGTGACTGTTTTTAAATGTGTTTCTTAAACTTTATTCACATTTCATTTTTTCCAGGAAATTGAAAGCGGTGGATGGGATGTCCTATCTCTGAAAGATATATTGTGTGGACCAAAGCGAGACGTACTAGAACCCCAAGATGTCCAGGTACCATGGTGTCAGAAGAGTCCAAGGGACTGGCCACCCAATATCTGTCAATGGAATACTCACTGATGTTAGTATTACCTAGCTTACTTTGTAATGATTGATGTAATGACAGATGAAACCATTTAAATATTAATGTCATAATTGTCCATGATCTAATGGCAAGACATATCTGGTAACTTTATAAATTGTTCTCAATGCAATGCCACGTTATTGATAGAGCATGTTGTAGCAAAACTTTATAAATTGTTTTTTGTTGTAATTTTTGTATATCTTTCTTGAAGAATGGACATGATGAAGGTACTTGGTGGGAGGTATCCATAAAAAATACTTAGAATATTCAGAATATTAATATCAGATGATGATCTTGATAATCAGAGCTTAATATATTATCCTGGTAATCCTTTGTTATTATGTGACATATTTATTTTCTCTTTAAGCTACAGTTTTTCTATATTCAGTCATACCCTTTCCTGTAATGGTTGTTATGGTCTTGTGTGTTTGTTAGGCCATGAGGGCAGTAAATGATGCGCAGCATGCCGTTGCACAGATACAGAAAATCTCCAACATAGATCCACACCCCCCTTTTGTCTCTCCTGACATCCCCCTGGTGAACCCAAGAACTGGGGAGACCATAGCTGCCTCTGGAGCCTCTGCAGCAGTACCTGTTGCCAGGCAACCAGGTATGTTGGATGTAGCGAGGTAGGGCATTAGGCAAGAGATACCAGGTGATGAGGTGGTGGGTTGTGAGAGGAAGGGGATATAAGGAGATGGGTTTCTTGGGTTGAGGGGTGAGTGAGCATGTAGACTGGGTAGGTGAGAGGGTGCAGTGAGTGATGTTAATAATAATAAATAATAATAATATGTCCATTTATATAGCGCCAAACTCCACAACAGGTATGCTCAGAGCGCTAACAGCATGCTCATAGTGCAGACAGTTCATGATAACCCTGGATAACCCAAGCTGCCTGTGAGGGGCTGAAAGGTTATTGTGACATGACATATTCCACTGGGTACCCATTTTCTGCCGGGTGAACAGAGGCAATTTTGAACAAACTCACTTGCCTAGGGTGAGATCACATGTGCTTCGTTGTGGGGCAGGACTGAAGTCCTTGAAACTCTCAGGAGTGAAGCTGCCAAACATGGTCACCCATCCAAAGACTCTCCGCACCCAACATTGCTTAACTTGATTTGAGCTCTATGCACAGGACCACACACCACACCACCATGTTAGTGTGGGAGAGGAGTGGAGTGAGGGTGTGGTTGGTAGACAGGTGAGGGAGCACAGTGGGTGATGTTACTGTCGGTGAGGGGGAGTGGAGTGAGGGTGTGGTTGGTAGACAGGTGAGGGAGCACAGTGGGTGATGTTACTGTCGGTGAGGGGGAGTGGAGTGAGGGTGTGGTTGGTAGACAGGTGAGGGAGCACAGTGGGTGATGTTACTGTCGGTGAGGGGGAGTGGAGTGAGGGTGTGGTTGGTAGACGGGTGAGGGAGCACAGTGGATGATGTTACTGTTGGTGAGGGGGAGTAGAGTGAGGGTGTGGTTGGTAGACAGGTGAGGGAGCACAGTGGATGATGTTACTGTCGGTGAGGGGGAGTGGAGTGAGGGTGTGGTTGGTAGACAGGTGAGGGAGCACAGTGGGTGATGTTACTGTCGGTGAGAGGGAGTGGAGTGAGGGTGTGGTTGGTAGACAGGTGAGGGAGCACAGTGGGTGGTGATGTTACTGTCGGTGAGGGTGTGGTTGGTAGACGGGTGAGGAGCACAGGTGGGTGATGTTAGGGTGTGGTTGGAGGAGACAGGTGAGGGAGCACAGTGGGTGATGTTACTGTCGGTGAGGGGAGTGGCGGAGGAGGGTGGGGTGTGGTTGGTAGACAGGTGAGGGAGCACAGTGGGTGATGTTACTGTCGGTGAGGGGGGAGTGGAGTGGTGAGGGTGTGGTTGGTAGACAGGTGAGTGGGAGCACAGTGGGTGATGTTACTGACGGGTGAGGGAGCAGAGTGGGTGGAGTGAGGGTGAGGGTTGGTGGAGACAGGTGAGGGAGCACAGTGGGTGATGTTACTGTCGGTGAGGGGAGTGGAGTGAGGGTGTGGTTGGTAGACAGGTGTGGGGATGCTGTCGGTGAGTGGGTGATGTTACTGGTAGACAGGTGAGGGTGAGTGGGGGGACTGTCGGTGAGGGGAGTGAGGGTGTGGTTGGTAGACAGGTGAGGGAGCACAGTGGGTGATGTTACTGTGTCGGTGAGGGGAGTGGAGTGAGGGTGTGGTTGGGTGACGGGTGAGGGAGCACAGTGGGTTATGTTACTGTTGGTGAGGGGAGTGGAGTGTGGTTGGTAGACGGGTGTGAGCACAGTGGGTGTTACTGCGGGTGTGGTTGGTAGACAGGTGAGGGAGCACAGTGGGTGATGTTACTGTCGGTGAGGGGATGGAGGAGGGTGTGGTTGGTAGACGGGTGAGGGAGCACAGTGGGTGATGTCAGTGTGAGTGAAGGGAATAAGTGAGGATGGGGATTTGTAGACAGGTGAGGGAGCAGAGTGGGTGATGTTACTGTCGGTGAGGGGGAGTGGAGTGAGGGTGTGGTTGGTAGACAGGTGAGGGAGCAGAGTGGGTGATGTTACTGTCGGGGAGTGGAGTGAGGGTGTGGTTGGTAGACAGGTGAGGGAGCACAGTGGGTGATGTTACTGTCGGTGAGGGGAAGCTGGAGTGAGGGTGTGGTTGGTAGACAGGTGAGGGAGCAGAGTGGGTGATGTTACTGTCGGTGAGGGGGAGTGGAGTGAGGGTGTGGTTGGTAGACAGGTGAGGGAGCACAGTGGGTGATGTTACTGTCGGTGAGGGGGAGTGGAGTGAGGGTGTGGTTGGTAGACAGTTGAGGGAGCACAGTGGGTGATGTCAGTGTGAGTGAAGGGAATAAGTGAGGATGGGGATTTGTAGACAGGTGAGGGTGTGTGAGTGTGGGTGAGATGAGTGAGTGAGGGTGTGGTTAGGTCGACAGGTGAGTTTTGATATTAAGTATGGGCAGGTAATGCCACAGACTACCATGGCATAAAATTATCCAGACAATTGTTTCAAACCAGATATATTAGTACATTGTATAAGGAAGTTCTGATTGATATTTCAGTGACCAAAGACAACTCAGCAATTAAAATGACAGACGGTACTCTAATCAACATTGTGAACAGTCAGAATGTACAGATCGGCAGCTTCAACAGGATGTATGTCCTTCAAGGACGCCAGCCGTATCAAGAGATGGAAGCGGAGGACTCATCCTCCGAATCTGATAACTTCGATGCTGAGGAAGATCTACAGGAGCAGGTGCGACAACGACGTCTTGCTGATGAGGAGACAGCCGAAATACTTAGGGGTGAGTTTCTGTTGATGAGGAGACGGATGAAATACTTAGAGGTGAGTTTCTGCTCATGAAGATATGGCTGCAATACTTAGAGGTGAGTTTCTGCTCATGAAGATATGGCTGAAATACTTAGAGGTGAGTTTCTGTTGATGAGGAGACGGCTGAAATACTTAGAGGTGAGTTTCTGCTCATGAAGATATGGCTGAAATACTTAGAGGTGAGTTTCTGCTCATGAAGATATGGGTGAAATACTTAGAGGTGAGTTTCTGCTCATGAAGATATGGCTGAAATACTTAGGGGTGAGTTTCTGTTGATGAGGAGACGGCTGAAATACTTAGAGGTGAGTTTCTGCTCATGAAGATATGGCTGAAATACTTAGAGGTGAGTTTCTGCTCATGAAGATATGGCTGAAATACTTAGAGGTGAGTTTCTGCTCATGAAGATATGGCTGAAATACTTAGAGGTGAGTTTCTGCTCATGAAGATATGGCTGAAATACTTAGGGGTGAGTTTCTGTTGATGAGGAGACGGCTGAAATACTTAGAGGTGAGTTTCTGCTCATGAAGATATGGCTGAAATACTTAGAGGTGAGTTTCTGCTCATGAAGATATGGCTGAAATACTTAGAGGTGAGTTTCTGCTCATGAAGATATGGCTGAAATACTTAGAGGTGAGTTTCTGCTCATGAAGATATGGGTGAAATACTTAGAGGTGAGTTTCTGCTCATGAAGATATGGGTGAAATACTTAGAGGTGAGTGTCTGCTCATGAAGATATGGCTGAAATACTTAGAGGTGAGTTTCTGCTCGTGAATATATGGCTGAAATACTTAGAGGTGAGTTTCTTCTCATGAAGATATGGCTGAAATACTTAGAGGTAAGTTTCTGCTCATGAAGATATGGCTGAAATACTTAGAGGTGAGTTTCTGCTCATGAAGATATGGGTGAAATACTTAGAGGTGTGTTTCTGCTCATGAAGATATGGCTGAAATACTTAGAGGTGAGTTTCTGTTGATGAGGAGACGGCTGAAATACTTAGAGGTGAGTTTCTGCTCATGAAGATATGGCTGAAATACTTAGAGGTGAGTTTCTGCTCATGAAGATATGGGTGAAATACTTAGAGGTGAGTTTCTGCTCATGAAGATATGGCTGAAATACTTAGGGGTGAGTTTCTGTTGATGAGGAGACGGCTGAAATACTTAGAGGTGAGTTTCTGCTCATGAAGATATGGCTGAAATACTTAAAGGTGAGTTTCTGCTCATGAAGATATGGCTGAAATACTTAGAGGTGAGTTTCTGCTCATGAAGATATGGCTGCAATACTTAGAGGTAAGTTTCTGCTCATGAAAATATGGCTGAAATACTTAGAGGTGAGTTTCTGCTCATGAAGATATGGCTGCAATACTTAGAGGTGAGTTTCTGCTCATGAAGATATGGCTGCAATACTTAGAGGTAAGTTTCTGCTCATGAAAATATGGCTGAAATACTTAGAGGTGAGTTTTCTGCTGGTAGAGAGATGGTTGAAATGCTTAAATGAGAGTTTCTGAAATACTAAATACTTTAAATATTTAAAGGCGAGTTTTCTGTCGATAAAGTTTTGTTTATAATTAACTACACCAGCCAGATGTTAACAAGGTGACAGCTTATGAACAGGTAACATATATGTCACATACAAGCATAGGAAAACAAATGGACATATCTGTCTGAAGAGGGTCTTGAAGGGGGGTGTCACAAGTCAGTAGTCAGTAAAATTTGAGTGAGTGAGTTTAGTTTTACACCACTGTTAGCAACCTTCCGATAATATCACCAGAAATGGGCTTCACACATTGTACCCATGTGGGGAATTGAACCTGGGTCTTCGGCGTGACAAGTGAACGCTGTAACCACTAGGCTACCCCCTGCCCCAAGTAAATTTTGTGGCCTCAGTCAGTGAGATAGGATAAGTATTTTAAATAATTGGACTACATGGTAATACTAGTTTTGTGATTATCTCTGTGGTGTAATATATACTCTAGAAAGACTTTCATTCAAAACTGATGTTTCTCATCATAATTTACTGTTGTTTGTTGTTTAATGTCGCTCTCTGAAATATTCCAGCTGTATGACGGCAGTGTGTAGTTTTGTAAATCATTGAGTCTTGACCAGACAATCCAGTGATCAACAGAATGAGCATTGATTTACGCATTTGGGATGTGATGGCATGTGTCAACCAAGTCAGCATATCTGACCACCCGATCCCGTTAGTCGCCTCTTACGACAAGCATGGGTTACTGAAGACCCTGAATATGTTTTGCTTTATCACACAATAAATATGGAGATAAATGATGAACGTTTTATGTTTTAGATTCGCATCGCCAGGTCTCGGATGCAGAGCTCCAGCGATTGTCTCGTCACATCGGTGGATCATGGAGGAGATTGAGTAAGTGGGCAGCCATTAACACAGCTGAAATGATCTGGATGATTATTCTGGATAAGTAATGCTGTTTAATGAGAGCCAAAATAACTGCATAATTATGAAACCAGGGGTTTAAGACTCAGTCTCAGATATTTGTATGATTTCCAACATGTTGATTATTTTTGTTTCTTTCCGTATTTTCCCAGTTAATGTGTATCATTCATGAACAGTTTACCTGAAGTTTTATGAGCATGTTCTGTGAGGTCCAGAGTTGATTGTCTTCAGACTTGCATGTATGGCCAGGGTTTACACAGTTTTGGCCCAAAACTTCAGGTTGGAAGGTCAAATTTTCCAATTTGAAATATATTTTTATATTTGTCAAAAGTGGTAGTAGCAGGTATACATGGTTTGTGGAAAGAAACATAGAGTTACCTCCCTTCCATCATTTATCCCACCAGTCTTCTACTGAATGTCACTAATCCTCAGTTTAACTGAGCTGTATCTGGTTTCTTAAATTTATCTTTATCACACAGTCCATCACTTAGTCTCTGTGGGGTAGCCTAGTGGTTAAAGCGTTCACTTGTCACGACGAAGGCCTTGGTTCGATTCCCCACATGGGTACAACGTGTGATGCTCATTTCTGGTGTCCCTCGCCGTGATATTGCTGGAATTTTGCTAAAAGCAGTGTAAAACTAAACTCAGGCAATCAGGCCAGCTACCTTAGTCAATATCAAATAGAACATGTTGGACAGATATTGCTGGAATATTGCTTAAAGCGGCATAAAACTAATCTCACTCACTCACTCACTTACAGTCTGTATGAACAATGTTACTGTTAGATTCACTTAGCTGCATCTGGTACCTTAAAATTATCGTTACCACACAGTCCATCACTTAGTCTCTGTATCCACAGTTCGGCTTCTGGGGATTGAAGAATCGGATGTGGACTACATTTTCCACACCCACCAGAGCGATGGCCTGGAGGAGGTGATATACCAGCTCCTGAAGAAATGGAAGATAGAAAACAATAACCCCACAGTGGGGGATCTCATCACAGCGCTGGAGAAAGCCGAGATGGGTCGGTTATTGAAACATCTGAAGCCTTGAAGCTCTTCTCGTTTGTCCCGTATTTCTTGAAATAACCACACACTTTTCCTAAGAAGCTATGATTTTATTTTGTCAGTGATTTGTTTTGTTAGTGTAAATTTATTCAAATTGTTGAAAAGGGGTTTCCCCCTCTGTCTAAGTTTCCTGACAGTGTCAACACAGCTGATGTGTTTGAAGACCATTTTAAGTTTGGGGGGTGAGTGCTAATTTCAGGAAATATGGTATTAGAAAAGTTTATGAAATTAAATGCTTTGGAAGGAAATAATCAGATCTTATTTCCTGATGAGATTACGTTATTGCAAAGAGAAAGATTTGAAGCTGTCATTTTTGTTACCATGGTGACGTATGTTTGTGTGGATCATGTGAATGAGTTTGACCAATGGAATTATTTGATAAGGTTTGAAATCTTGTTAAATATCAAATAGTTCCAGTGACAATTAATGGTAAAGTGCTTTCGTGTTCAGAGAGTGAAATAATTTAAAATAAGGAAAAGATGTAAAATAACTCAGCATTATTGTTGTCATTGTGAATGTTCTAAGCTTGATACACCTGGTGTATTATGTTCCTTATGTCTTAAAATTAAATATTTTCATGTCACTTGTTATCTCCCTTTGTAACATTGACTTCAAGCTCCTTACGGAGTGTGTGTGACTCCTTTATGGCCCTGTATCATTGCTACCACAAGTGTAGCACAGTACTGTGAGGAGCTGTGACTGGTGGCAGCAATAGTATACTGAGCTCCACAAATGTAGTCACTGTGAGGAGCTTGTGCTGCCACGCTGCTTCAAACACATTTGCTCCAGGTGATGTTTTGATTTTAGATTTGCTTGTGTTTATTTGTTCGAAATGTTTTGTTGAAACCTGCCTACATCAAACTGTCCTGTGAGGAATATAATCATAAGTAACAAAAGGATGAGGCTTCTTATTCCCCTAAAATTATGTATCCTGGGAATGTGTGATTGTCCTTGAAACTTGAGGTGAACAGATCCCTGTTCACCAATGCTAATGCTACTACATCATGTCAACGCATTAATGCCGACTTCCTGCTTTGCATTCTGGGTCAGGATCAATTGTCAGCAAGTTTGGCTTGTTGTATGATGTGATTTAATAGATCAGGTGATCAGGCTTGGTTGACGTTGGAGTTTCCTGAGTGAGGATTGATGCAGAGTTGTTTATCTTGGCAATTACGAGTTTGGGATTTTAAGTCTCAAACCAGTGTTGTGGCTTTCACTGCAGTGTTTAACGTCTGTCTGTTCAAAATTTACCTTCACTCTGTGGAAACTGAATATTTAGAAGTCCAAATAATAAGATGGACACTTTGTTGGTGATGCATGATAGCTAAGTCTGTGAGACTTATAATCGTTTGAACCAGGTTAGTCTGTGAGACGTATGATAAATGTTTAAACCAGTTTTGTCTATGGTATGACAACCACCTTTGTCTGTGAGACATTAATTCATGACTGTAAATAGTCAGCATGTTTTGTTATTGTTAGCTTTTTGTAACATAGTCTTTTCACTTTTGAGAAACTTTGTAATCTCGAGCTCTATTAAATTTAGTTATTATTTAATGTACCATCAGTAGTTCAATGTCTTGTAGACTCCATACACTATGTTGCTCCTTCACCCATGATTAGAAGCGGTGTTCCAATGCATGTTCACCTTTGGTAAGATAATGAAGCCAACTCTGGATGAACGTTGTGGCAAGCCCATCAATGCCTTATGTTGAAGCAATTTGCAGCAGCAAGGCTTTGACGTATCGTGTGCTTGTTGTCACACAAGAACAGTCTAAGTAAACTTAGGCTCAGTATTATTCGTTACACTGCTATACTGAGTCTAACAAGACCTAGTAGAAGGTCGCATCAGCTAACCTTTGAGCGACCTATGACCGTCCAATCAAACGCGAGACGGCTGAAACTGAATTAACCAATCAGACAACGACTACTTGTTTGGGTTCGGCGGGACTTACAAAGCGGTTTTAAGATTTTCTCTTTCCTGGTCGCTAACACTGATCTATCAACAAACGAAAATCCTCATAAAACACAGATATTTGACATGCAGAAAAGTACGCTTATGGGTTTCTAATGACATGGTTACTCTTTGCTTATATTTTTGCAAGGTGACATCCTTGAATATTGACAAAAACGCTATTTTCAGCGACTGTTTACCCATTGAGTGTATCACTCGGAAGTGATCGTGCGGAAAATAGCGTTCGGAATCGTTTGAGTTTTTAGGTAAAGGTTCAAACGGTTTGTGCGAATGTTAACTTTCACGATTTGGTAAGCTGTGTTCTGATTGGTCAGTCCAAAAGGTTAGCTGACGCGACCTTCTACTAGGTTTTGATAGACACAGTACAGCAGGGTAACGAATAGTACTGAGCCTGAGTTTACTTAGACTGTACACAAGAAATACCACAATTTGTTTGTTTCTTTGTTTATTGTCACACTCAGCTATATTCTAGCTATGTAGTGGAAATCTGTAAATAATTGAGTCTGGACCAGACAATCCAGGGATCAACATCTTGAGCAGAATACTCACTGGTTTCCATCTGGCTCAACCAGACCATGTCTTGATTTGTAGGTAAAGTAGAGACACTGAAAGGCGAAGGAGCATATGTTTTTCTGGGTGGTGAAGCAACATGTTGAAGTGTTGATGCAGTTAAGATGATCGTGATGATATGACCTTATGACCATGTTATTTGGCTGTCTGTGCTGTCTGTAATCGACTTGTTTGAACTGTTGATAATTAGTTACACCTTTCAGAACTCCAAAAGTCACTTCTGTTAATGTGGTTTCATTGTACATAGAATAACGGCACTAATCTGCCAACTCCAAATTTCATAATAATATCTAGATTTAGAGAAAGCCAACTTTCTTTTCGGTAGCCTAATAACAAAAAAATGATTCTGAATGAAGAATGTGCTCCTAGTGGGGACATTGTTTGTTTGTTTGTTTGTTGTTTAAAGCCGTCCTCAGCAATATTCCAGCTGTAATATGGCGGTCTGTAAATCGACATCATGAGCATCGATCTACACTATTGGGATAAGATGACATGTCTCAACAAAGTCAGTGAGCCATTTAGTTGGCTCTTACGACGAACATGTTGCTGAAAACCAATTCTAACCCACACGTTCACAGTTAAATTGTATTAGTAAATTTTGGTTGAGTTAAAACGTCCATCCTTAAGTGGGTTTCTTTGACAGTATGACTTCCCTTCCCCATGTTCTCATATGAATTAACTTCAAAGTGTTCTTGCATCAATAAAACTGAAAACTCGGTGTGAAGAAAAGAATTTGGTTTCACTTTTGTGCATTATGTTTAAGTTGACAGACTGGCAAAGGACTGAATAACTCTTTGCCTTAGTCAGCACTATTTGTTTAGTCAATGTGCTATTTGTTTGACATCGATGCATACTTAACTGCAATTTTTCCCTTTTGTGTATTTTTCTGAATGATTATGTTATTTGACTTTGAAGTGCCGAGGTTTTGGCTTTGTGTAAATAGCTTCGGGTTTGAAGATGGTGAAATATTTTAATTTTGAAAATGCTTTCTGTATTATGTGGTCTTGTCTGTAATGCTGTAGATAGGGTTGTCTCAGTGGTCAGTGGACAGCGGTAGGATCACTTGTGGTGTCATACCAAAGACGTTAAAAGATGGTACTGGATGCCCTGGTTTCTCTGTTAACAAGCACTGTAGAGTCAACCATAGACCAGGTTAATACAAGCGAACAGTGACACGGATAGACACATGTCACTAAATATGTGTCATGAACTTTGAACTTTTTTTTTTTTTGTGACCTAACTTAACTTCCCTCATATTATCACTTGTATAAGAAATTACTGTTTGTATATAGCTATGTAAATAAAATGTCTACAATATGATACAGTGCTTGTTGTCTTTGGTAGATGATTATGCAGTCATAACAAATGGCTACCGGTATATACTATTTGACCAAATCTAGAGAGAGCATCAAAACCAGGTAAATTGATACACCTGGCCTTATCGCCCACACTGCATATCTTGAGCATGTTGAACACCACTGCTTGTCGCCGTCCATTAGACCATGTGGGTAGTACTCATGCAGTTGGTCTGTGAACATGTGGACACTGTTTCAACAGTGGAAACTGGTTTGTTTTTAGCAACCTGATACATTCTGTGGCTTGTTCCATATCAACAAGAATTTCTGGAGGGTGGAGGTGTCATACTAATTACTGGATAACACAAGGTCCTTGTGGGCAAAGTTCCTATGGGCAAAGGTCCTTGAGGGCAAAGTTCCTGTGGGCAAAGGTCCTTGAGGGCAAAGTTCCTGTGGGAAAGTTTCCTTGTGGGCAAGGGTCCCTGAGGGCAAAGGTCCTGTGGGGAAAGGTCCTTCTGGGCAAAGGTCCTGTGGGGAAAGGTGAGGGGCAAAGGTCCTGTCCTTCTGGGCAAAGGTCCTGTGGGGAAAGGTCCTTGAGGGCAAAGTTCTTGTGGGGAAAGGTCCTTGTGGGCAAAGTTCCTGTGGGCAAAGGTCCTTGTGGGCAAAGTTCCTGTGGGCAAAGGTCCTTGAGGGCAAAGTTCCTGTGGGCAAAGGTCCTTGAGGGCAAAGTTCCTGTGGGGAAAGGTCCTGGGCAAAGTTCCTGTGGGGAAAGGTCCTTGTGGGCAAAGTTCCTGTGGGGAAAGGTCCTTCTGGGCAAAGTTCCTGTGGGCAAAGTTCCTTGTGGGCAAAGTTCCTGTGGGCAAAGGTCCTTGTGGGCAAAGTTCCTGTGGGCAAAGTTCCTTGTGGGCAAAGATCTTGTGGGGAAAGGTCCTTGTGGGAAGTTCCTATGGGCAAAGGTCCTTGTGGGGATGGTTTCAGTCCTTGAGGGCAAAGTTCTTGTGGGGAAAGGTCCTTGTGGGCAAAGTTCCTGTGGGCAAAGGTCCTTGTGGGCAAAGTTCCTGTGGGCAAAGGTCCTTGAGGGCAAAGTTCCTGTGGGCAAAGGTCCTTGAGGGCAAAGTTCCTGTGGGCAAAGTTCCCGTGGGGAAAGGTCCTGGGCAAAGGTCCTGTGGGGAAAGGTCCTTGTGGGCAAAGTTCCTGTGGGGAAAGGTCCTTCTGGGCAAAGTTCCTGTGGGGCAAAGTTCCTTCTGGGCAAAGTTCCTGTGGGCAAAGTTCCTTGTGGGCAAAGTTCCTGTGGGCAAAGTTCCTTGTGGGCAAAGTTCTTGTGGGGAAAGGTCCTTGTGGGCAAAGTTCCTGCGGGCAAAGTTCCACACACCGGTGTAACTGATGGTGTTCAAAGCTGAGAAAAACTAAATCTACTCAGTTTGCAAGTAACTGAAGCACTTGGGTTGTTTGGATGTTCTGGGTTACTGTAATTAACTGAATATGAAACTTTTAAGACATTTTACTGTCCTAAGTAGACAGGTTTTTATATTGAATAAATATATTTCTGAGCAGTTCACACCTGTGAAAATCCAAGTTAGAATTGGTCTTCAGCAACCCATGTTTGTCCTCAGACACAACTTAATAATAATAATAATTCATTCATATAGCGCCTAGTATCCATCTGACTAGCTGCTCACTGGACGCTGTAATCAGAATCTGATTATTATTACCCCGGATAACCCAAGCTGCCTGTAAGGAGCTAGAAGGTTATAGTCACATGACTTTATCCAACCGGGTACCCATTTTCTGCTGAATGAACAGGCAATTTTAAACAAACTCCCTTGCCTAAGGTGAGACCACATGTATCAGATGTGCTTCGTTGTGGGGCAGGACTGAAGTCATAGAAACTCTCAGGTGGACTCTGACAGACCTTATACCTTTAGGAAGAATAACTATTCTAAAGAGCTTGATTTTACCAACACTTAATCATCTTTTCACCTCGCTAGCAAACCCTAAATTAGAAAAGATAGTGAACCTTCAAAAGAAATGTTTCTCCTTTATATGGAAAGGTAAACCTGATAGAATAAAACGATGTCTGATAACAAAAACATACCAAGAATGTGCCGTGGTCTAAAAGTACCAGCTAAAAATACATTGAAACAATTAAGTCCCAGAAAATATCATGGATCAGAAGATTATTCGTACATGACTCAAAATTAAATAATCTTTTATATACTTCACAACCAGTGAGCAAACTAAACCCCATAGAAATGGGACCATTGTATCTGAAGACACATTATATTCCAAAACTCATAAGCCCATTCTGGAAAGACGTATTTGAAGCCTGGTCTGAATTACAAGGACAAAGTAAATATGATAATGACCATCTCAGCAGACAGTACATATGGGCAAATGATAAGATAACAATAGGGAGAAAACCAGTAGTATATGACCACTACCTACAGTCAAATGTAAAATTTATAAATGATTTCTTAAAAGATGACAATACATTCCTTTCTTATAAAGAATTCAGTAGAACTGTTTGGAGTAAAAACAAATTTCCTTGAATATACAGGATTATTATCTTCATTGAAAACATATTCAAAACAGAGTTAAGCTCAAAATTAATATTCAGAAAGATTTACCTTTTATTCCTCCTAATTTGGAAATACTACTCAAAGCTAAGAAAGGATGTAGCATGTTTTACAACAGGCTTCTTCACAAGGAAACTATAAACCAAAACTGCTTTATCAAAGTAAATGGGAAAACATAAATATCACTCTTAATCTATCGAAGACACATAATTTTATACCATTTCGAAAGCATCATATAGTGCTAGGCACAGGTGGCTTCAATACCGTATTCTCCATAGGATCCTTACAACCAATAAAGATTTATATAAATACAAACTAATAGAATCACCACTATGTACATTTTGCGATGTTGAAATAGAATCTATCATTCATTTATTCTATGAATGCAAACATGTCAAAAAGCTGTGGCAAGATCTACTAGAATGGATTGAAAATGAAACAGACACCCATTTCAAATTAAACGCGAGAAACCATTATTCTCAGATTCAAAGAGAGAAGAAACGATGTACTGAATTTCATTTTCATATTAACTAAAGAGTACATATTCTAGAAAGTTAGCAAACATTGTACCTTCTCTCGCTGGTCTGAAACCAAAACTGAATTACAATTACCACTTGCACAAATTTAATGCATACTCACTGCAAATAACGACACTTTTGTTACATTTTGCCACAGTCTATTTACATAGATAATGACTTTGTAATTTGACTCCTATATAAAGCAACAAAAATGCTGACTTGTTAAATGTGCATGATATGCTGTACCCAGATCAAAAGAAATACAGTGATAAAAAAAAAAGAAACTCTCAGGTGTCAAGCTGCCAAACACGGTCACCCATCCAAAGACTGTCTGAGCTCGACGTTGCCTAACTTCAACTGATTCGTGATCTGAGCTCTACACACAGGACCTCACACCACCACTTACTGGATTGGTTGGTCAAGCTGAGTGGTTGGGAGGATGCAGGTCACTGTATCCCAATTGTGTAGATAGATGCTCATGTCAGTCACAGTTATTCCACAAGACTTGATAATTGTACTTTGAATACTGTCAAGTGATATGATATCAGTACAAAGGCAACATTAAATCGCTGCATTTTCTTTCAATCATCATTTTTCCATCTTGGGTAAGAAATATACAAAAACAACAAAAATGGCACAGATGGATTCAATAAAAATCAAATTTATTTTCTGTAAAAAATTTAAGAATGTTGATCACTTTTGCTACTGTTCTTGTGTTTCACTGCTGCCAGTTTCATTCTGAATCTGAGTTCGATTTTCAAATTTTCCTTAAATTAAAAAAACCTAAGTTGTCCTTTGATTTCTTTACAAAACGGTAGCATCAAGTGATATGGGATTTACTTCCTGGTTACTTCCTGGTTATGTCAATAATGATAACATATTGTTCTCATATCAACAAAAATTTCAAATGCAGTCAAACAGCATAATGTGCTGAAGTAGAATGGACCTTGGTGTTCTCCCATTGCAGATAGCCAGTTCGGTTCAATAAGCAGATTAGCTACTACCTGCTACCTACACATTATAATGGGATATTCCAAATAAAAACACAAGAAAAACTGAAGCTATATTATTTACTTTGAAAGATGGCCGAAAAGACAATTTTTACTGCTGCAACATAAAAACAGTTGATTTTCATAAACAATCGGGATTAACCTTTTCGTCTAACAAAAGACCATTGTTAAAAAGACATCTAAAATGATTGCAGCATTTCAGAAATTAAAGTTCCTACTAAACAGAACAACACCAGTTTTTCTTCAGGATTCACTCCCACCTGTAGTAGGCAACTGGACAAACTATGGGTTAAGAAACTCCGACAATTTTAGCCAACCATGTACAAAACTAAGGCACTCAACATCATTGGACAGTGGACTGTTCCATTATACCCGTAGGTGTTACCCTAATTAACATCCTAGTTCAGTGTCTGTCAATCAACTGTCTGTCAAATGGGTGTCTGTCAATTGCAACATGAATAGTAAAGAAGAAATAGGCATTGACCAAACCTTTTACTTCAAACCATAAGTTTGACTGCATGTTCAAGAGTTTATTTGACATAGGAATATCTTTTGGTTAAAATTTGACGGCATGAATTAAACAAATACATTAAAAACATGCACTAAGGGACCGTTAATATTTTATGACTAGAGGGGGTGATGATGATCTTAAGGTGAGGTGAGGTGAAATTGGGTTTAACGTCGTGCTTGAGAATATTTCGCTCATAAGACGACGATGATGATCTTAAGGGGGAGTTGGGGTTGTGGTAAATTGATTTTGTTGGGGTTGGGGGTGAGTGGGTGTCACTTACTTTGTACATAAATTTTAGAGGGGTCATTATACATACTTCTCCATAAAAATCATCATCACCCTCCCCGAGCCATAAATTATGAATGGTCCCAAATGCCTAAGGCATTTCTTAACGACAAAGAGAAGTCTTTGACAGGCATTTAGAAGTTGGCCGAAGGGGCAAGACATTGCTCTTAAATGTTTTAACAAAGAAATAAGTTGTTATCCTTAAAAATGAAATATGTATTCAACTATAAACAGACTTGTCAATTATAAAGGTTTCTATAAATTATCAAAGGCTTTTCACTAACTTGACAACAATTTACAAGCAATATGAATTCTATTTATATTTTAATTCCTTTTCTGTTTACAGCTGTTATCTTGAAAAGGAAGGCATGGTAGGATGAGGGATACACAGGATGGTGGGATGAGGGATACACAGGATGGTGGGATGAGGGATACACAGGATGGTGGGATGAGGGGTACACAGGATGGTGGGATGAGGGATACACAGGATGGTGGGATGAGGGAGACACAGGATGGTGGGATGAGGGGTACACAGGATGGTGGCTGGGGATACACAGGATGGTGGCTGGGATACACAGGATGGTACTCAGGGTGGTACTCTGTGTTGTGTGATGGGGGTGGGGGGTACACAGGATGGTGGGCTGGGTGATGGTACTCCGGTGGTTGTGTAATGGGGTTGGGGGTGGGGGGGTACACAGGATGGTGGCTGGGGATACACAGGATGGAGGGCTGGGTGATGGTACTCTCGGGTGGTTGTGTAATGGGGTGGGGTGGGGGTACACAGGAAGGTGGCTGGGGATCACGAGGATGGTGGAGCTGGGTCACGGATGGTACTTAGGGTGGTTGTGTAATTGGGGTGGGGGGTACACAGGACGGTGGCTGGGGATACACAGGATGGTGGAGCTGGGTCACGGATGGTACTCAGGATGGCTGTGTAATGGGGGGTGGGGGTACACAGGATGGCCTTGAGGGTGGCTGGGGATATGCAGGATGGTGGAGCTGGGGTCCCACGATGGATGGCCTCAGGGTGGTTGTGTAATGGGGGTGGGGGTACACAGGATGCGCCGAGGAGTGGATGGGTTAACACAGGTTGGTGGTGGGGTGGGTGTGGGTACACAGGATGATGGTGGGGTGGATGGGTTAACACAGGTTGGTGGTGGGGTGGGTGTGGGTACACAGGATGATGGTGGAGTGGATGG